TGAAGGGACTTTGGGTCGCTTAAGATGCCTCATGGATTGCTAAATACTCATTTCTCTGTGTCCATGTAATAAGGTATGAGGTGGGGTGATAAAAGGCCGATAAGCAGTCCAATTATGCGAATGGGGATGGAAAGCTGATCAAAGTAAGAGATATACATACCAGTAGATAACAGGCCAATGACATGAGACAATGGACAGTGACCAATTGCATGTGTGGATGATGTCTGACTTGGATCAATCGTGACTGACTTGGCCGATTGTCGGCCGATGTTGATGTGGAGTGGCAGCATGGGAAAGTGGGTCGGAGAGGATTGGAAAGATAGGGGATACTAGCTCAGTAGCGATCGGCTTCTACAGTGGGCCGACTAGAAGCAGGGTGGTGTTAAGGTCGTGCTCAAGGGAGAGGTTACTCAAAGGGCTTCGGCTTCAGCTCGTGCACTGCGCCCCTTACCTGAGTATGTGCCCTTAATTTCTGGGGGACAGAGGGGAAGTCCAATGGAAGTCCGGGGAATTCCGGAGGACAGAAGTCGGTGGAGTTTGGCAGAACTCTGGAAGACTTATGTGGGGACGGAGTAAGGCTACTATGGAAGTCCAGAGTAGAAACAGAACAGAGGTTAGACTACCCTAAGGTAGAGCTGGAGAAGTAGTCCTAAGGTTTAACCCCTAAGACTCGGAGGTGGACAAGAGATGAGACTCAAGTCCGGAGATTGCAGGAATGAGCAGAACTAAGATGATATTTGAATTGAGGAGTTCCGGAGTATTACAGGGGTTTATATACTGTAGGTATCATGTAAGTAAATCAGTCAGCAAAGGTAAGGGCTATGTATGAAGCATGTGGAAAGTCTATTACTAAGTGCAACGGATCAAAGCAGTGAAGTTGGAAATGAAGTAAGAATGGACGGATCAGTAAGCATAGTGGAATAGGACATAACCGGAAACCGGAGCAATAGCTAATCTAAAAGGAGTTAGGGGTGAGTGCGGAGATGGAGGCGGAGCGCTGGGCGGAATGGTAAGACGGAGGACCGGTCTTTAATGAAGTAGATCTGGAATTCCGGGTCCGGAGGTACGGGATATGACAGGTGGATGGAGCAGAGGAAGTGTGTTGGAGCAGAAGGGATCAAGGGAAATGGGGTAAGGATATATTGGATGGAGGGAGGTAAGTGTAATAACTTAGAGTGCAGCTCTAAGTTGGAGCAGAGGAGCCAAGGTGACGACAAGATGAGACTTGTGTCTGGAGTGAGCAAAGTCCTATGGAGAATTCCCACAGTAGGAACTGAGGGAAGCCAAGTAATATTAAGACTGAGGAATACAAGCTAAGTACAGGATATGTTTATATACTTCTAAGTAAAGAGGCAGTGATCAGTAGTCCATAGCATAAGGCTATGTGCTGAGTATACAATTTGTAAGGATTACTATAGAGGAAAACATAAGTCGGAGCGGATATCAATATGTATGCGACAGATCAGTAATTGAGTGGTTATAGGATTTACCAGTGATCCGGGAAGTAAGAGCTATGCTCTGAAGGGGAAAGTATATACCTAAATGGGGGAAGGGGTTCCAGTTGAATGGAACCTATGCAGAAGGTAACTGATGAGGTGGTTGAGTGGGAGTGAAGGAGTGGATGTGGGGACTGACTGGGTTGAGTGGAGACAGGTGGAGCGGAAGTGGGGGGAAGGTGGGAAGGGTATAGGGTCGGGTGGAGTGGATATCAATATCATCGGGGTGGTCAGATCTGGTATATGACACCTGCAACTGTACCCCTGTCAGAGCACGTCAGAGTTGATCTTTGGCAGCCCCTATCCATCCTTCAAAGTTAAGGGCACCATACTTGCCTAAGGAGTGCAGTGCATGAGCTGAAGCTAAGCCCCTCCATAACCTCCTTCCTACCCATTAGGCATGGTTCTGACAGGAAGCCATGCAGCAATCAACAAGATGGCACACATCTCTGGATTTGCCTTTATGGTGTAAGTCAGTTTATTCTGATCAGCCTTGACAAAGTCAAATAATAGCAATAACAAGTATTCCTCTGTTCCACTAACACTCTGGATACCACAACTTGGGCTTGAAATAATAGTTTGTTGTCACAAGCATAAATAACAGGACAATGGGATCTTGAAGAGATGGCAAGGGTGACCTCCAGTGGTTCATTCAGTAAGTTATCCTCAGTCCACACTTTCAGACCAATATCAGATTATCCCAAGGGGAGTGGCTTTATTCATTAACTTTGCTATCCACTCACATCTATTTTAATATACCAGTGTCTGTCACAATTGTATCACCTACTCAGTGTGCCCCTCACACTTGGGGTCCTCTGTATTTTCTCTCTAGTCGGAGACTGTGGGTGAACAACTTTCCATGGGTGATCCACACACAGGCAACATAATGTAGGTTGTCACAGTGCCAAATACAATTATTCACATTCAGAGCATCCATACAACTTAGCAGGATTTGAAGGTGTAATATATGCTGCAGTATGTTGAGCAATATTTCCTGTCATTACTGAAAATCATCACTGCCAAAAAAGATCCCCAACATTCATATATACCAGTAAATGACATATTACAATTACATTAAAACAGCTATGGTGAATCTAGATTTAAATGATGGAATATACAAAGATTGTTTTAGTCTGAGTCAAAGGTGATGTTAAGGTCGTGCTCAAGGGAAAGACTACTCAAAGGGCTTTGGCTTCAGCTCGTGCACTGCACCCCTTACCCGAGTACATGCCCTTAATTTCCGAGGGGCAGAGGGGAAGTCCATCGGAAGTCTGGGGAGTTCTGGAGGACAAACATTGGTGGAGTTCGGCAGAAATCCAGGAGACTATGTGGAAACAGAGCAAGGCTACTACAGACAAGTCTGGAGTAGAAACAGAACAGAGGTTAGACTACCCTGAGGTAGAGCCGGAGAATTAGTCCTAAGGTTTAACCCCTAAGACTTGGAGGTGGACAAGAGATGAGACTCAAGTCTGGAGATTGCAGGAATGAGCAGAACTAAGATGATATTTGAACTGAGGAGTTCCAGAGTATTACAGGAGTTTATATACTGTAGGTATCATGTAAGTAAATCAGTCAGCAAAGGTAAGGGCTATGTATGAGGCATGTGGAAAGCCTATTAGTAAGTGTAACAGATCAAAGCAGTGAAGTCGGAAATGAAGTAAGAATGGATGGATCAGTAAGCATAGCGGAAAAGGACATAACCGGTAACCGGAGCAATAGCTATTCTAAAAGGAGTTAGGGGTGAGTGTGGAGATGAAGGCGGAGCGCCAGGTGGATCAGCAGGACGGAGAACCGGACTTTATGGAGTAGATCTGGAATTACAGATCTGGAGGTACAGGATATGACAGGTGACATCTTCCATCGCCTTTCTCTGGTTGGCTAGCACGGTGACAGACATCTTTGACATGACCTCTGGTGTTAGGTCCTTGTGATGGTGTTGTCATATCCCATACCTCCGGACTCGGAATTCCGGATCTCCCCTGTGAAAGTCTGGTTCTCCATCCTGTTTTCCGCCTGGCGCTCCACCTTCATATCCGTACTCACTCCTATCTCCTTTTAGAATACTGCTCTCCAGCTACCAGTTGTATGTCTTTCCGCTTTACTTACTGATCTGTCTGTTTGTACTTCATTTCTGACTTCACTGCCCTGATCTGTTACACTTACTAATAGGCTTTCCACATGCCTCATACATAGCCCTTACCTTTGCTGACTGATTTACTTATATGATACCTACAGTATATAAACTCCTGTAATACTCCAGTACTCCTCAGTTCGAATATCATCTTAGTTCTGCTCATTCCTGCTTCTCTGGACATGAGCCTAATCTCTTGTCCACCTCCGAGTCTTAGGGTTAAACCTTAGGACTATATCTCCAGCTCTACCTTAGGGTAGTCTAACTCTGTTCCACTTCTACTCCAGACTTGTCCATAGTAGCCTTACTCTGTTCGTTCCTAGCCTTCTGGAGTTCCGCCGAACTCCCCCTGCATCTGACCTCTGGACTTACCTGGACTTCGGTCGGACATTCCCTCTGCCTCTCGGAAATTAAGGGCACATACTTGGGTAAGTGGCACAGCGCATGAGCTGAAGCCGAAGCCCTTTGAGTTACCTTTCCCTTGAGCACGACCTTAACAGGTGTCATATACCTGATCCGACCTCTCCAATGATATTAATATCTGCTCTGCCCAACCTCATACTTTCCCCACTTTCCTACCACCTCCACTCCATCTGCCCTCCGCCTGTCCCAGTTGGCTCCTGCATCCACTCCTATGGCTCCGCTCGACCACCTCATTGGTTACCTTCTGCATTGTTTCCACTCTACTGTAAGCTCCTTCCCCATTTAGGTATATACTTTCCCCATTTGCACATAATACTTACTTCCCGGATCACCAGTACTTTGATCCGACGTGTACATATTGATATCCACTCCAACTTATGTTTTTCACCTGTGTCCACTTACAAATTATGCTCAGTACATAGCCTCATACCAAGGACTAACTAGTCACTGCCTCCTACATAGAAGTATATAAAAATATATCCTGTACTTAGCTACTGGCCAGTCTTAATATTACTTGTCTTCCTGCAGTCTCTACTAGTGGAAATATTCTGTAGGACCTTGCTCTCTCTCCAGACACAAGATTACCTTGTTGTCACCTCTGACCCTCTGCTCCAACTTAGAGCCGCGCTCTAAGTATTTGCTCTTACTTCTCCGACCCCACCAAACCCAATCCCCTTACTCCCCTCTGTCCCAACACACTTCCTCCGCCTCCACCTCCCCTGCTCTGCTTCTAGTCGGATTACTGCTATTAGCACGTCCTATAGTCGGACCTTGTTGGACCCTCTCCAAATTTGGGGCATGTACTCGGCTAAGGGCACAGTGCAAGAGCTGAAGCCAAGCCCTGACCCTTCCCCTTCTCCATCCGAGCACAGTCTCTAACAGATGGCTTCTTTCAAAAAATTTCCTAGACGGTAGTGTTAGAGATTAGATATACAAGGAATAACAAATTTTTACCTGGTCCACCACTTGAGAAGTTGAGCTACCCTGTGTTGTGTGACAGGACCAGGGACATCCTTGAAAAAGTCCACAATGTTGTTCCAAAACATTTCATAGTTGAAGTCACTGTCAATGGTGCACCAAGATGTGACACCAGAAAGAGTGAAATGAACCTGTGAAAGATTGTATGTTCAGAGATCAATGCTGGGTAATCACTTGTACTCACTTGACAGACAACATACACAATGGAGTGAGGAGTAACCTTCTTCATATTGATAATTGAGGCCATGCATACTTTAACCTTAGCCTGGTTTAATGTGTGCCTGTTATTCTCCAGTATATCAGCTCCATTGTCATCAGCTTCCCTAGCAGAAGATGGAGATGTAAGTGTGGCTTTGAAAGCCTAGCACCATAACAACTTTGAGTAAATTTATGACTACTGACACAAACTACTAACCTTCACCAGAATCTTAAACTTGAAAAGACCTTGCTTGAGGTTGCTACTATCAACTGAGTAGTTCTTGTACAGAGAGAGTGACCAGGAATTTTCCAATACAATATACTCAGATGTTTGGTTGTGAATACTGGCCTTTACTCTTCTCAAGCATCAACATCATATATGAGCCAAGATTGTTTGGTGCTCACTGGGGATCACTCCAGTCCCACTCAGCAGGGCAGAGCAACTTCCCACAAGTGTCATGTACAAAGCCACGTGAGTGCTTGTCATTAGCCTTGAGTAAATAGGATGGGCAGAAATCTTCATTGACCTAGGCAGTGATGAGGTCCTTGAGAGTGGATGTATCATCACTGTGGGCTGCATCAGCTCCTCTTCTGAGCTATAACATTATTAGGATACAGTGCAATAAGCATTGGAGTTGAGAGTACACACATTTTTCAGCATATCTTCAGAGTCATCAATGTTGAGTTCTGAAAGCTTGTGGTGTAGCCATGGCACAACCTGCACAAGTGTGATGTAACCATGTTGCAAGTGATCTTGTCTGTAAGAATAGAATTAAGCATGGTATGGAACAAAACAAATGACATACTCTGTGGTGTTGTTCACTAGGTGTCCCTTGTACCTGCAATCATTTTTGGCAATCAAGTCTTTCAAGCCAGTATATAAAACAACCATGTGACAAATTGCCCTGCCTTGAGACACATAGTAGGTTATCTTTCTTTGAGAGTTAATGAGCAAAACACCTGGAGTGAGCAAGATGACATATGACAAACCTCTGCTTAGTTCCTCTTTCTTGCTGCATCATTTGCAGTTCCTCTTCCAATGTAGCAATGCGACACTTTGCCCTTGCCTCTGTGGATGTAGGAACTGCCCCAGAGAGGTCTGGAAGTGTGAGGGCATGTGTCTGATTGTGATGGTAAGGCTCTGGCCCAGACATGGCAGAAGTGAGGGCAGGGTGAAGGGGTGAAGTGAAGGGAGACAATAAAGGGCAATGAGTAAGAGAAAATAATGAGCAAAGGTAAAGAGCAAAGATGGAGAGAATTGTAAAGAAGATGTGGTAAGTCAGAAAACCTACCTGGACCATTATATGTAATGTCTCACTAAATGATTGGGCGGGCAATTCCAAATCAGGATATAACAGAAGGAATCTGCCTCAGACATGGATAGAAGTGCAATAGAAGAAGATGTTGTTGAACATCTTGAACTTGTGGGAGAATGTGCAATTCATGGCTGGGCACATATGAACAATGAAGCAGGCATAGATGGATGCCCTAACTGTAATGCAGGCAGCCCATGAAGGTTTGGACATCTTGAGGGGGCAAAACAAAACATTCCCTTGTGTTAGCTCACACAACCATGAGCTTCATCGGGATGGCTCCCTGCGCATATATGCCCACATGACCAAATGAATATGCACAGATGCCCTGCAAGACACATGGTAGACATGCAGACCAAGAAGGGCATCACAATGGCCCAGCTGAATCGACAGCTTAATATGGCTGTGAAATGGAAAACCAGTCTGCAGTAGAGCATTGTATCATTAACCACTCACATCACAACATTGGTGATATTTGGCCGATTCTAAGGCTGTGCCTGTTTGAGGCTTTGTGTACTGCATCTGGTGAACTTGTGGATATGGCTTGCCAGCCAGAATGGCATTGGTGTAGTCATTAGCATCAAAGTTGGGGACAGTGAACAATGAGTAGTCTAATGTGGTTTAGGGTTAAGTGACACAAGGTGTAAGAGGAAAGAAAGTACTCCCTTAATTTCTCACAAACAGAACTCAGAATGACTTGATAACCTTTCTTAAAAGGGAATTCAGGACACACTTGAGTTCACAAGTTAAAAATGCAGCAAAAATTAAAAAGATCACAGTGCTGTTGTAGATTCAGTGAGGTGTGGACAGCTTGGGTTTGGCTGTAATTTTGAAAATCTCTCAACAACTTCTATCTATCTTTGAGGAACAAAACGCCAATGGTCCAAGTGATTGCTACATTCAGGTGAGGACTCATTGTTGGCTACTAAGATACCAAAGCTGTCCCCACCTGAAGCAGAGTCCTCAGCCTCAAATTAGCATCCAATGGTACTAACTGAGAATCAAAAATACAAGGTTTGAAAGCTTGACTAAACAGAGTTTAGAAACCTTAGGTCAGTGGAGTGTCAGTCAAATTTGATAATATTGTTGTTATCTTGTCTTATCTAAGTTTCTCCACATTGGTTTGACTGATGTTTATTAACCTCCTCTTGAAGTACTCTGAGAGCTCCAGAAATAACCACATCACAGGAAACACCCTCTGTACATGATGCTTCACTGTTAGAGACTGTGCTCAGATGGAGAAGTGGAGGGGTCAGGGCTTGGATTCAGCTCTTGCACTGTGCCCTTAGCCGAGTACGTGCCCCGAATTTGGAGTGGGTCTGACGTTGTCCAACAATAGGATGAGTGGACCGCTTAGGTCCGCTTTGAGGGTTGGGAGGTAAGAGCTACTAGCGGCGGGCCGACTAGGAGCGGAGCAGAGAAGGCGGGGAGTGATGTGGAGGGTGGATAGGAACAGGGGGAATGTTTGGTAAGAGCGGGGAAGGCGGAGGATAATGTGGAGGATGGAAAAGGGTCAGAGGGGAATATTGAAAGGGGCGGAGAAATAAGGGGGAGACTTAGAGCACAGCTCTAAGTTGGAGTGGAGGAACGGAGGTGACAACAAGTTGAGACTTGTGTCCAGAGGAGGTAAGGTCCTACTGAGAATTCTCACAAGTAGTAACTGCAAGAAGACAAGTAATATTAAGACTGAGGAAAATATCTAAGTACAGGATATGTTATATACTTCTATGTATGAGGCAGTGATTAGGATAACTATGTTGTAAAGCTATGTACCAAGGATATAGTTTGTAAGTACTTTACACAGGCGAAGACATAAGTTGGAGCAGATATCAATATGTATGTGTCGGATCAGTGACCGGGCGGTAATAGGAATTACCGGTGATCCGGAAGTAAGGGTCTATGTACCGAAGGGGAAAGTATATATCTAAAAGGGGAAAGAGGTCCAGTTGAATGGAGACGTTTATGGAAGGGGGCTGGTTGAGTGGTCGGGTGGAAGCATAGAAGTGGAATGTGGGCTGTGATTGGACGGAGTGGAGGATGGATGGAGTGGAGGTGGTCGGAAAGCAGAGTGGATATCAATATTGGAGCGGTTGGATCAGGTATATGACAGTTGGGAGGTAAAGTGCTACTAGCAGTAATCTGACTAGGAGTGGAGGAAGTGGGTCAGAACAGAGAGGAGCAAGGGGACTGGGTTGGGTTGGGTTGGAGAAGTAAGAGCAGACACTTAGAGCATGGCTCTAAGTCGGAGCAGAGGGTCAGAGGTGACGACAAGGTAATCTTGTGTCTGGAGAGAGAGAGCAAAGTCCTACGGAGAATTCCCACTAGTAGAGACTGCAGGAAGACAAGTAATATTAAGACTGGCCAGTAGCTAAGCACAGGATATGTTTTTATATACTTCTATGTAGGAGGCAGTGATTAGTTAGCCCTTGGTATGAGGCTATGTACTGAGCATAATTTGTAAGTAGACACAGGTGAAAAAAAACATAAGTCAGGGCGGATATCAATATGTATGCGTCAGATCAGTTAGTCAAGTGGTTATAGAAAGTACTGGTGATCTGGGAAGTAAGTGCTATGTGCAAATGGGGAAAGTATATACCTAAATGGGGAAGGAGTTTACAGTAGGGTGGAAATGATGCGGGAGGCAGAATTAGAGGATGAGTTTCTCAAGGTGGTAGGGTGAGTAGATCCTCCTCTTCTATCATAAGAGACTGAGACTGACCTCTTCTGGATGTACAATGGATCTAGCTGAACATGCTCTCACCATTTTAAAGGTCAGAAAAGATGACAGGACAAGTTTTAGGATGTTAGGAATTTTTCTCAAGGTTGTGAAGTTGGTGGTCCCTCTCCTATGGTAAGAGACTTCCATCAGCCCCTTCTAAATGCTTTAGGGACCAATTTGAGCATGTTCCCACTATTGTAAAAGTGATGAAAGATGAAAGTGGTAAAGTGAGGGGACCCCCTTCTATGATGAGTCACTGTGACTGGATCACACTAGATGTACCAAGGACCTACCTGATCATGTCCCTGCCATTTTACAGATCAAGAAAGATGATAGGACCAGTTTTAGAATGCCAGGAATTTTTCCCAAGGCAGTATAGTGAGTGAACCCCCTTCTATGATGAAGGTGTAGCATCAGCCTCTGCTGGATGCTTTGGGGATCGAGTTGAATATGTCCCTACCACTGTCAAGGCCAAGAAAGATGATAGGATAACTTTCAGAATGCCAGGAATTTTTCCAGCACTGGTGAAGTGAGGGGACCCCCTCCTATGACGAGTCACTAGGACTAGCCAGGCTGCACTTATGGATGTTGTCATGCTTCCATCATTATAAATATCAGAGAACATAATACACCTAGTTTCAGGATGTCTAGAATTTTTTGTGAGGTGAGATCCTTAAATCATCTTCATCCATCAGGAGACACCAGGACCAGGTGACATAAAATGGACCAGTTATCAGGCTGATCATGTCCCCACTACTGGAAAGGCCAGAGAGTATGATGGGCTAGGTTTCAGGATCTCAAGAATTTCTTTGTGGGGTGATAGACTCAATTCATCTCCACCCACCAGGGAACACTGGAACCAGATCACTCTGGATGTACCAGTGACCAAGCCAATGATGTTTTCACTATTTGGAAGGTCAGAGAAGACAATACACCAAGTTTCAGGATGTCTAGAATTTTTTGTGAGGTGATAGCCTCATATCACCTTGTCCCATTAGGAGACCTCAGAACCAAGTGACTCACAATGCACCAGTTATCAAGCAAACCATGTGCTGACTATTGGAAGGGCCAGAAAAGATAATACACCAAGTTTCAGGATGTCTAGAATTTGTTGTGAGGTGATAGCTCCAGATCACCTTGACCCACCAGGAGACACTGAACCAATCATGCTGATCATGTCCCTATCATTTTAAAGGCCAGAAAACATGATAGGCTAGGTTTTAGGATGTCTAGATTTGTTTATGGGGTGATATACTCCATTCATCTCCACTGACCAGGAGATTACCAGAGCCAGATCACTCTGAATGTACCAGTGACCAAGCTGACCAATTCCCACCATTCTAAAGGTCAGAGAAGATAATACACCAAGTTTCAGAATGTCTAGAATTTTTTGTGAGCTGATAGACTTAGGTCACCTCCAGTCATCAGGAGGCACCAGGACTTGATCATCCAGTAACCAAGCTGTTTATTTTGCCACCATTGTGAAGGTCAGAGAAGATGATAGGCTAGGTTTCAAAATGTCTAGAAGTTCTTGTGAGGTGATAGCCTCATATTACTTTTGCCCATCAGGAGACACCACTAAATGCACCAGTGATTCAGTTAATCATGTTCCTACCATTGTAAAGGTCAAAGAAGATAATACATCAAGTTTCAGGATGTCCAGAATTTCTTATGAAGTGATAGCCTCAGATCACTTTCATCCATCAGGAGACACCAGGAGCAGATGACTCAAAATGCACCAGTGATCAAGCTGATCATGTTCCCACCATTGT